ATACCGCACATCTGCTGGGCAATCATAACTGTGAATGCAGCAAGTGTCGCTCTTCGAACTCGGGGGGCAGTAAACAGCTGCGTAAATCGTGTGGCATAGGTTGTCTTTCCGGTCAAATGCTCCTCAATCTCAAGCTGGCAACTAATGTAGTACATGTCTCTTGCAACTTGGATAGGATCATGACGGAGCTTTAGCATAGCTTTCCATGCTTCGGGGTATCGGTTCTTCTTCATGTACCAGCGCGGCGACTCAGGACAGAAGTAGATGAGAAGCATAAGGGGAATGGCAGGGATACAAGGAGCGCCAAGCATGAGACGCCAATTCATATCTCCCTCAAGATGGAAAATGCCCAGGTTGAAAGCTGTTCCAAGGAAGATGCCAAAGGCTGTCCACATTTGCCACGACATAACGAGTGCGCCACGGACAGCAGCCGGAGCATTCTCAGCAGCGTAGATAGGAACCGTAGAACCTTTGACCCCCATTCCGACGCCCATAAGGATTCGACAGACGAGGAAATGTTGCCATCTCTGACAGAAGGTAGAGCCAATAGTGGGCCATATACAGAGATGCGCAGCAAGGAAGATGACTCCTCGACGACCCAAGAGGTTATTGATGGGATCTGACAACCAGCATCCTATGAATGCAGACCCAAGATACGGTCCTGCGTTTACAAGGCCCACAAGTAGTTTATCCCTCGTACTGTCACTGTCTATCCCAAAGACCTTTGGGAAGAAGATGTTCGCACCGTTGGAACCAGTCTGATCCCAGCCTTGCACAGCAGCGCCGATGGAACATACTGCGATGGTGAGAATAATACGACGAGGTAGAGCCCAACGATGTGTGGTTTCACGCTTGAGATGGTATAACTCTGCTGCTGTGAGCGCGTAGTCGCCTGTGAGGTGAGCTGCGTCGTTAGGGTTTTGGGCTACTAGGGCGCCTTTCTGGAGGATAATCATGTGCTCTGTGAGATCCTTCCTATGGGCCCATTCGACAACGTCGGCGAGGAGTTGTTCTCTTGGAATGCCATGGAGGGGGTTCTTGATCCTGATATTGTTAGAGAGGGGGGTCATAGGAAGGAGTGGATGGGCATACTTGGCTTCGAGATTGGCTTCAGTATCAGTCTTGGTGTTGATTCTCACATCATCGACACCTGACACTTTTGGCGCGATATCGTTATCATCTTCTTTTCTCGGGTCCTTCTTCGTGGAAGTTACATGAGCCAGGTCTGCGTGTTCGATTTCTTCGGCCATCGTAGTCTTGTCGAATACTTGTTATAAAAAGCGAAAGTGGTCAGGGAGAAGTCACTCACCAGGAACAGCACACAAACAAGTTACCAAGGAATATGCTATATATCATCCTCTCAGTTATTGCCCGTCTAATTACGTCTTTATACTCTACACTGACATCAATTGTCGCGCCATGGTCTACCAGGGAGCACAACACTGGCTGTCTCTTCGTAGCCCACTCCCAGATAGCCATCAAATACAGGCCTAGGAGACAATATTGCTGTCATTCTATGAGCAGTGCACCCTTTTTGCCCGTTTACTGCCATTATGACTGGCTGCCGTGGATTGCTTTTCCAATAGAGTTGTAGGTGGCTGAGTGCAATGTTCTCCGGTCCGATAGATCCCACCTACTTGTTTCTGAAGCAACGACATGCCTTGATGGCACATCAAGGCTCTTAACAAACAACGCCCATGGAACTTATGTGTTTCTTATACAGTAGATAGATCCAGATAACATGTGATACCTCATAGTGCATGGTACCTGGCCTTTCCAAACGTCATAGTGGCGTCGCACTACCTCGAGCTTTCACAAGTCCTACCCAGCTCTAGAACGGAATCCATGTAACTGTAGAAACATGGTCAAAGTAGAATTTGTTTCTGTGCCAGTCTGTGCCAGTCTGTGGTACAAAAGGCTTCCATATGGAGCTCTCGATCGGTCAGCATATGGCTTGTTTATCTGCTCGTTATGGCATCACAAGTCGGAAGATTACAACTCTCGCCATGTAGAAGCGATACACCAAAAGAATCAAGGTTACCAATTCGACAATCTATTACATTAACCCCAGTAACTCCATTTAGTAGCTATGAATTAAGCAATTGTGTCCCAAGCACCACCAACACCCCTCTGATACTGCGCCATAAGAAGGTCACATGCCTCAGCACCTCTTTCGATCGTCATCAGAATAGCAAAACAAGAACCAGAGCCTTGTCCACCATGCCCAATGCCAGCGTCAATTTCAACTCTATCCATCAGGTTCAGCTCTTGCAGAACCAGAGACAGACGACGGGCTTGCCGTTTTCGCTGCCTGTACGGTCAGAGGTCCATCCAACCTCATTCAAGCTCTTCTCGATTTCCTTCTCCTCGTCTCCGTTGAACGAATATCCCTTGTACCATTTTCCATTGCCCCCACTGTATAGCTCGAAGCACTTATTCTTCTTGGGGTTGGGATTAGTACAGCCGAAGCCTTTGAGCAAATCACCCAACTTGGTGCTGGTAGGGACGTGTGAAGCAATGAAGGGAATTTGCGCATTAGCATCGAGCTGCCAGGGCGGGGTTTCACTCTTGAACACATGAACCTTGGTGTGCTCGGCTGGGAAGAAGTAGTTGTAGCCTGGTTCGCAACCCACGCCGCCAGTAGAATTGGTCATCTGGGCGGCAGGCATTTGGGTGTCGATTTGCGGATGAGGCTGGGCTTGCCGAGGCAGGATGTTCCCAGTACCGTTGGGTTGGTTTGCGTAGGTCATCGGACTTTGGAACCCTGCGACAGGTCCCTGGGGAACAACGTATGCAGGCTGGCCATATGCGGCACCGCCAGGATACATGACACCGTAAGGAGTAGAGACTAGACCAAAGTTATAGCCGGGCCCGCCAACATAGGGGATATAGGGTTGACCTTGTGTGGGAACAGGTACACCTGCGGGAGCACCATTGGGCCGAGTTCCCCTGGAATCACGGCCACTAACGGGATTCCATCCACCAGACATGATGAATGTTCGAAGGAAGGAAGGGAATGTTAGGAAGTGGATTCAGTAAAGTGGCTGCCAGGTATGAACCCAGCGACGAACTTGAGGGTTGAAAGAAGCGTTCCAGTAACCAGGAACTTGACCTTGTCGAGCTGGATCCCACACTGGTGGTGCAGTATAGGACGAGGTCTGATTCCAATGAGGGTAGAACTGTTGAGCTTGAGGTGTCTGGTTGATATGCTGATAGTCAAAGGCGTTGTTGCTATCGTAATGACTTGGTCGTTCTGAGAAATAGATGTCTAAGGGAAGTTAGACAGAGTGCGAGGTGAGAGGGTTTATATAGATGACTTTGTGACTTGAATAACTGCTGTTGACAGCAATTTCAGTACTTACCTGATGCAGTGTCTGTCTCCTCAGCGTCGCTCTCTGCTAGTGAAGAGCTACTCTCGCTATCAGTTGTCTCGTCGTCAGAATCCGCGTCAGTGCCCAGGTAGCCAAAGAAGATCTTGGTACTCCAAAGAACGTTGTCGTGGCGGTCGTAGAAGGCTCCAACGATGATCCAGGCCCAGAGAGGAGAATTATGGGATGTTGCGAGATGCTGCGTAATGATAAGCTTGGTCGCGGGTGCAGGAAGGTTGACGTCCTCGATTGTCCGACAAGTAATCGGCCCGTTGTTAGACATGGAGGACTGATCTGCGGTAACGACTCTGACGACGAGCTGAGTAACTTGGTGAACGACTGGTTGAAAAGAAGAATTCCGAAGCACAGCGAAGTTCTGTAATTTATGCCATTGAGTGGCACTAGTCTTGACATGAACAACTTCATACCCTGGGCTATGAATCAGCTCGAAAGCATAGCCGATGTCATGTGAACGTCTGTGGGCTCTGATTAAACGGCCGCAAACAAGCGCAAACCAGTATCATCCTGATGAACTGGGTCTGATTCAGCAGCTATTGCGTCAAACATGGGCAGCTGTGACAAGACAAACCGTGATACAAGGTTTTTGTTGATGCATTAAAGCTGTCAGAACGAACTTTGACATATCGGCTGTGAAACATAAAGTGGACGAACGGGACGTCGTGGGTCGTGCATCACACATGAACACGGCACAGCCTGAACTGCTGACTGGTACCCAATCACTTGACTGGTATTGGAGATGATTGTCAGCCTACTAGAGCAGTGATTGCCTGGCTCGCCAAACCAGCTGGATTGTAAGCATTGAATCAGATCGGCAGACATCGGCAGATGAACCAGTAACAGAGAAAGAGCAATGCGGTAACCTAATTGTAGATACCATAGTTCAAGCGAGTTGTCTGAAAGCCGAGGTCAAAAATAAGTTCAATTCAAAGCAACTCCATGCTCTTTCGCCAGTATAATGATTTAGAATATATAGTAGGAAATTATTGACCGTAGTCGATGTGACATGTGAGCAAGGTTGGTTCTGTAGGAACCAATATATCTTCTGGTCAACACTGGTTATTTGGCACCAGAGTTACCGTCAAGCGACAGTGGAAGAACCGCAGCTTGTGATATTCAACAACAAAGTCTGCTGGCTTATTCTTCGTCACTTGTAGATTCAACAACTCGAACTCCACCACCCTTTTTAGCCGATTCAATCTCCCGTTTCTGCTGTTGCTGTTGTAGTTTCCCGACTTCGTTCACCAAGCCCTTCAGATAGACTTCAGCCTGAACGGTAGCGCTGTATGCAGCTGGGGTCCAGCTCCAAATGTTCCGCTTGTGGATATCCGCGCCCGCCGCCAGCAGCGTTCGCAGTACCAGCAGGTTTCCGTTTCCGCTTGCAAAATGCAGTGCTGTGTTACCTTCAACATCTGCGCGGCGGACTGCCTCATAAGGTCCACCGGGAACGTGAGTGAGAAGGAGTTGCAGTATGGTGTCATGTCCTCCAAGACTAGCCTCCATCACAGCATCACGACCTCGAACATCGCGACGAAGAATGCATGTTTTATCGTGTTCGCAGAGAATTTGGACGACTTCGGTATGTCCGCCAGCTGCAGCGAGCATTAAAGCGGTTTGGTGGCTTTCGTTCAGAGCAGGGCAGGGGTCTTCGTGACCGAGCTGTATGAGTACTTCGCAGACTTCGTGGTGACCTAGCGAAGCTGCTAGGTGCATGTTCGAGTTGGACTGGCCGGAAGGAGAGGAATCGGGATTCAGGAGGTAATTCGGGTGTGTCTTGAGGATTCGACGTAGAAGGGTCGCATCGTTGGCGTGGATTGCCCGACGGACACGAATAGATGGTTCAATCCTGGGGTTCGTTAGTTGGGTGTGAATGATGTCGAGGCTAGTGCATCTCACATGGTGGAGGATGACTGGTCATGACGGTTGCGATTGGGTCAGAGCATGTCGCGCCGTCACGAAAAACGAGATCGCTATAGAAGAACAAAGGAAAGAGAGTATATAGGGCGAGTACAAAGAGAAAAAGACGTTGTGTAAAAGAAACCGCTGAATGGAATATAGGAAAGGAGAACGAAAGAGGGGGAAAGGAAGCAACAAAGTGGTGTTGTTGATAAGATCAAAGGAAAGCTTAAAGGTTCAGGCAGGTGCAAGTGCCCGCTTTCAGCTTAAGCAAGGTCTGGGCAGCTCCCGTCATGAAACAAGCCGCGTACCCCACATCAAATGCTTATACAGAGGCTGTTGATATGATGGTTTCCATAAAGCGATTGAAAGATATAGCAATATGTATGGATGATTGACATAATCGGCATACCTGATCCCGATTGTAATCCCTTTTTGAACAACACTTGTCTTGATATCCATTTTATCGTAGTAATCATGATTGACATGGAACGTGGGTCTGCGATGATGAAGCTCATGGAAGGTCGACTCCACTATTCTTAAGCGCTGTCAGATGCGTCTCGTCTCCTCAACACCAACACTACCCTGCAGTCAACATCAACTTTCCATTATTCCAACGTTAACACATTAAACCAAGATCTGAGGGGTTTCATGCTAACCTCGGAGAAAGAATGTGTTATTATTCTTATCTTTCCTATCCTTTTGATTAGAGGAAGCAACTGAGGAAGCTCGTCATCTTTCCTTCCCTCGTACCAGATGCCTCATGAGTATGAACAACTCATTACGTCTCTGAACCACCATCAGACATTTTCGCAACTGCGGACCTTTCCTCACTTGGGCACAGAAAAGCAAAGGTAACAAATACAATATTATCGAGCTGATTTAAAAGCTAGATATTATCACCACCGCAACGATCTGCCCCTGCGAGCTTCCCTCCTTTGAGACGTGGCATGTGATAAGGGGCATCATGATCTGTTTGGAGGAACAGTGTTACTCTTGCTGAATATAATGTCAGGCTTGGTGATCTTTTTCAACAAATCGTAAGCACGCCCGGTTAGCTCAAT